CGAGAGCTGGATCGGGCCACGACCAAAGTACTGCTTCCCGGGCGCGCACGGATACTTGTCGCTGGCTTGGCAGTACTCGTTCTTGTTGATCTCTTCGACGTACTGGAGGTCGCCCGACTCGAGCGAGATCTGGCCGAGGAACGCCGCGACCTCGCGCTTATCGACGTCGTTGTTGCCCGTGTTGGCAAAGGCCGGGTACTTTTGGGACATGGCAATCATGTTTTCGTACTGGTAGATCGGCAGCGCGTTCGGAAAGAGCTTCTGGAACGTGGCCTTGGAGAGGACGGTGTCGAGGCCCTTGGCGTCGACCATCGACGCCATGAGAAGAAAGACAGCGGCAATGTTGTGCATCATGTTGATTGTCCGAGGCAAATGTGGAAATGAGATCGAGACGCGCGGCTATCGGGACACGCAGCGTGGCCGTTGCACGGTGACTGTCCGGTTCGCGTCCGAACACAGATGGTGCGCCGTGCGTATTACCACCGCGTCGAGACCGTATAGGCCCGGACCAAATACAAAAGCTCATACATATCTCTGCTACACCGAGTGCATTGCTGGCGCGCTGCGACCTCCAACACGCGGGCAGTGCGCGTGGGCACATATATGAGCCTCTCACTGCGGTGGTCACATGACACCATCTTGAGAAGCAGATGCATGGGATCGGAACTCATACTGTTCTCCCTGAAGTTCGCGCAACAGTGTACCAATACTTGATAGCCCTCCATTGTTGTCGTCAGTGACCACGTGGCATCGCGCATTGGAGCTGCCTTTTCAGATCTGAGCCCGTCCAGTTCTGGTCAAGAGTGGTCAACACATCAAATACACTGCATTTGTCCACACTAATGGAGCATCCGTTTGGGACAGAAGCTGCGGAATGTGACAGAAGCTGAGGAATATGTCTGGTATTGGGGATTGACACATTTGGATAGGCTATAACCTGGGCTATAACGTTGGAAATAACGTTAGGTTGATGGCGTATGCCTATTCCCTTCTCAAAAGCGAGATCTTACCGAGCATCTAAAGAGATCTTGCAATCCACTTGAAAGGACTGTCTCCTTGAACCAGAAAGGTCGAGTTGAGAGCGTTTTGCGGCGGCGAACGCTTTGCCGTCTTTGGTTTCGCACCCCGACTGACTTCTTTGGGCGTTCTCCAAGTCGTCCGACCCGTTTTCCTGCGATGTGAGTCATATCAGCTCAGGATATCAACCCAACCTTCTAAATCAACACCTAGAACTCGCCGCAATATTAACACCTTGCACATACGGCAAGCAGTAATCCGCAAGCCTACCATTTGTATGGCAGCGAGCCGAACAACGAGGTACTACTGTATGAAGAAGAGACATTGTGGCTAGGGCTAGGGGTTCTTGCAAGAGATGGCGGCCACTGGTGCGAACGTTGCTTGATGTGCAACACCCGTTGCAACGTGCTAGCCGCCACCGCCGATGCAAACGATCTAGAGCCCGCGGCGTTTTCCATGCAGCTCACTTTTCATTTTGCTCTCACCAAGACACCACTCTCCAAGATGAAGCTTTTTGCCTCGACGCTCCTCCTCGCGACCGCCGTCTCCAACGTCGATGCTCACGGCCGCATGGTGTTCCCGCCCCACCGCGGTTACATTGGCAAGCTCCCCAACTTCAAGGACATCCCCATCAACTACAGCGACAACGGCTTGAGCGCCGGTGGCATCGGTGCCACGTCCGGCGGCAAGCACGGTGTCTGCGGCGACCCGTACAACGGCGCGCGCCACCACGAAACCGGCGGTACCTACGGTCTCTTCCCGACGCTCGGGTCCAAGGCCATTGGCGCTTGCTTCGCGCCCGGCGCCACGATGGACCTCAACATCCAGATCACGGCCAACCACAAGGGCTACTTTGAGTTTGGTCTCTGCAAGCTCAACGGCAAGGACGACAAGGAGACCGAAGAGTGCTTCCAGACGCTGACGCAGCCCAACGGCGACAAGCAGTGGCAGCTCCCGGCGGGCGCCGACTTTTTCAAGATGCAGTACAAGCTGCCGGCGGGTGTCAAGTGCGACGGCGACTCGCACTGCGTGCTTCGCTGGTGGTATGTCGGCTGGAACAACCCGGGCGTCGACATCAACGGCCAGGAGCAGTTCTGGAACTGCGCTGACATTTACATCAGCGACACGTGCGGGTCGGACCCGAAGCCGTCGCCGAGCAGCCAGCATCCGACGCCGGCGCCGAGCTCGGAGAAGCCTACGAAGGCCCCCGGTGACGGACAAGCCCACGTCGCCTAGCAACGT